GTCTGTTTGTGTCTGTTTGTGTCTATCTGTGTCTGTCTCTGTCTGTCTCTGTCTCTCTCTGTCTCTCTCTGTCTCTCTCTGTCTCTCTCTGTCTCTCTCTCTCTCTCTCTCTCTCTCTCTCTACCAGGTAAGAGGAGAAGAGCGGGGCGCTCCCCTCTCCACCCCCGCATGCGAACTTTCAGAACTCCAACATGGTGCTACGCCCCCAGTCTGTGGCTTCACTGTACCACAGATCGGGCTCAGGTTTGCTTCAGCAAATAAAGGCAATGCAAGCAATATCGGTTCAATATCCTGTGATATCGTGCGAAAGGTCTCCCCCTCGGGTAGATGCACCACCCCTCCGGCAAGTCAGGTGCGGCTGAGGAGCGCTGGAGCTCTTCCAAGCTCTGACCTCTCAGCGTGCCATCTGCGCTGCCTTCGATTGAGGGAAACTGCAAATAATGCTTTACTGCGACTAAGAATGAAAGTCAGGTCTTTTCGACGTTGCTTTGTGCTGTTCTGCCACAGCTACCGGCTTCATTCTGGAATACTCGCCAGCCTTTGAGGAAAGCGCCCTGGCTGAGGGAATACAATATGGCCACCTCGGCGGAATACATCCTGAGACTCAGAGGTGAGGCCCGGCAATACCCCAAACTTTGAAGAATGTCAGGCCTCTGCATCTACAAGGTGAAGCGCCGGTAGCGCATCTCGGAGGACCTGCCGGCTTCTCTGCTCGGCTCCAAGTTTGTGCAACTTTGTGGCAGTGCTTGAAATGCTTCCGCTTTCGACCTCCGTTTGGCGAAGAACACTGGCAGGTGCAACTGATGTGGCGCCTCCGGCCTGGAACGTGGAAGCACGATGCAGTAGCAAAGGGCCCCCACCCCCCAGCCTCGTTTCTTGGAGCACCGCGCAGTCCTCGGCCGCATTGGAGCATGAGGCATCCCGACAAGATGGTTCCCACAGCAGGCCTGGCTTTATCGAGGGTGTCCCCAGTGCTGGCACCTGCGGCTTCGCTTCTGAAGTCTCCAGGATGTCTGGCTGCAGGGCGACGCAGGGCACCGGGCACCGTGTGCAGACCAAGCAGGGTAAGGTTGCCGGCCTCCGAAATGCGCAGCAGCAAAGCGCAGCAAAGCGACAGGTCGAAAGGTCGTGGCTCGGCTTCGGTCTTTGGCCTCTGTTCCAGGCTGCAGAGGCGAAGGGGTGTTCTTTCGAATCCAGGCCTCAGTTTCGTGTGCTGACCCCAGCAACAGAAGATATCTACTTGGGCCGAGGGCAACAAAGGCGTCTTGCTGGTGAACCATCTTTTTGTCCTGATTCGCAACGGAGCTTCCCCACCCTAGAACCCCTCAGGACAGCGCCCCTCAAACTCTTCACAGACCGTGACAGACATGGCTGCGAACAAGGATCCGGATTTTTTCCACCTAAGGGCGAGCCAGTGTCGCCTGCAGGAAGGGGCTCGGCTTCGACTCCGAGGAAGTTTTCTTTGAACTGAGGGCGGGCCTTTGAAGTGGTACGTCCGGATGGTCGGGTACCCGCTGACTTGAATCTTCATGCAGAAGGCCAAGAAGTCCGGACAGTTCAACTGACCCAGAAGCAGGAGCAACGGTCAAAATGCGAGTCCGAACAACCACAAGAAACCTGACAACAAGCATGCGATCACAAACAACAACAAGTGAAACTGCATTGCTCTTGCAGAGCGGCAGCGCCAAAGTGCACCTCAGAGCAAGATTGTCTCAGGCAAGGCATGCGCGGCACATGGGCAAAAGGACCGAGACCAGGCAGACTTTGCCCGAGGCCGCGACGGCTCCTTGGTGAGCAGGCGACACGGCGCTGGCGATCCTGTGCAAACAAGATGCTGCTTGCTGCTCGCGCTCTTGCCGAACCACACAGTATCTGTGCAACTGACTTGAGAAGATGTCACCATGAAATCCCGGCCTCTCAAAAACGGGAGCATAGTGATGGCAATGTGGACACCAGTCGGCATAGTACATCACCACCCAGGGATTCCTGCTTCGCCGAGCAACACAAAGCGTTGAGATTGCGCAAGATACGGCACGGCACCAAGCAAAAGAGCCTGCAGCTAACGTGCAGACATGACCTTGCGGCGGCATCTTGCCCTTTTCGAACGTTGCAAGTGCATCAGCAGCAGCAGCAGCAGCAGCAGATCAATGTAGTAGCCGCTAGGCCCGACTTTGAAAGGCGATGAGCATCAAACCCAAAGCTCTGAAGAAACACACCGGTTATGGCTGGCCACCCCCAAACCATAAAGCAATGACGGTTAGCAGACCCTCAGGCGCGGAGTGATGCGGCAGCAACTCTGCCGAAACCCCAAAACCCTAAACCGTAACCCTGAACCCTAAACCGAGAGTAAACCCCATAGACCCCCGAACCCCTAAATGCGAGCCTAAATGTGAGATTTCAAACTGTAGGTGCGTTGTTTGTCGAATCGGTCGTTGCCGTTGTCCGAGTCCTTTTTCGGATTCCGCTCCCCCCTCCCCCCACCCGCCCGCATGTATTCCGAAGCCGCCCACCTGGTGTTCGACATTTGCTTGCTGTGTTTTCCATCTCTTGTTTTGAGAACCAGGCTACGAGTCTCTCGTTCTTTGGGCCCCCCCCCGGCCAGATATCAGAGTCACAAAGCCACGAATGGCGGTCCTAGCATTGGCAATTTCGGTCTCCACTCTGGCTGCGTCCAGCCTGAGCCAAAAAATGCCCGACCTCTACTCTTCCAGAATCTACGGGAGAAAGTCGGAGAAAACTGCAGAGGCTGTCCTGCATGTATTTTAGCTGAGTCGCTCGTCAACATTCCTTTGCAGGACACGATGCAACACATCTGCTTTCTTCAACTCTTCTTGCCAAGAGCTTCTTGCACAGAGTCCCCACTCCAGAAATCCATCAAGAGCAGTGCAAGACAGGCCCGTGAAGTCGGAAAAGCTCCGAACAGCTGATCCATGCAATCATATGCAATCTAAGGATCTTCGATGCTTGGAAAAGTTTCTTTCCGCCTGCAGCGGTGCCGTACCGCACGAAGAGGCAGAGCACCTAAAGCGAGTCAAGAACAGGGCCAGGCGAAGAATGTCTGCCTGCTTTCCCTGCTGTCGACATGGACATGCTTGCGCTGCCACTCGGACAGCTTAGTGATGAGACAGTTGAGACCGCGACTGCCAAGCATGTTCCGGCTTGGAAACCAGCCATGGCAGCGACCGCGTATCATGCTCGACCGAAAGGGCTGAGATGTTTGACCATGCCAGAATGTCGCGTCAACGCCGCTGATAGTGTCCAGACTGACGGGGATCAGTTAAACACCCATTAAGGACGGGGACACTAGCCGGTGACTCAAACGGCTGCTACATCGCGGTCGGGGCCTCATGCAATGTGTGGCAAGGTTAATTCTGACACGAATTGCCTACTCCACCCGCACAAATAAGCTCCGGATACAGTATCTGCCTACCTCCTATCGTATAACCGCTGCCTCATGTTGTCTCATACTGCTCGCTTCCACACACAAACACCCGAAGTGATAGCAGCCTAACGCCAGCGGCTGTCGGTGAAGACGGTGGTGGCGAGTGGCTCACATTGTGAAGAACTCCTGGCACTGCACTTCGCTTGATGCCGTCTACTGAAGAACTATCGGAACTGTGTCCGATCACCAGATCCACTTGCTGTCGGTTGCGTGGGCCGTCATGCATGGGGCGCGATTACTGCTGCATGGTCCGTCCCACTACCTACCTACAAGTGGGGTCCGCTGCAAAACAACCCTCCGAATCAAGGGTGGAGGGGAAGACGGCGAACCCGCCTCCTACACTAGACTCCACTGTAGCTGGTAAGCCCGCCAACAAGTTCGGCACCTCCTGCGCGACGCTGTTCACGCTGAAGCGGCGTGACCTGCAGAACCAGCAATCGAAGACTGTTTGAGGCACCTGGGATTCTCTTCGAAGCTGTTATGCCTCTACGCTCGGTTCAGGAAACAGGTTCGAGGTGCAAATCAGGAGTGGAGAGACACATTGCAAATGCAAAAAGTTGATGCTGCGTGTTTAAATGGGACCACTGCAAACTTGGTGAGAGAGCTACTAACAGCTACTACCTTGTTCACAGGCCGACATCCTAGACACGCTCCGAATCAAACCGCAACAAACGTTCGCCAGGAAGCAAGATCTCAAGCAGGAGACGATTTTAGGAATTTTAGGAATGCTGCGTGCTCTCCTCCCACACAGTCAGAAGAGGAGCACGGACGCACTCCCCTCCGCACGCGAACGCGCCCTGATTGTCACAAGTCTTTGCTACGACTGCTCGATGAGGCCGAGGTCTGAGCTCGCAAACCCCCGATTAACTAATACTAAAAACCCCCCGGCCTCGTCTTGCATCTGAGGGTGGTACATGTTCTGTCCCCCTAACTCCTTTGGTACAGACTTCACAACTATCAGACTGCGTGCTCTTTCTTTCGTTAGGGCTGTGGACTAGGGGAGCTCCCCTAGCCCGCGCGCTGTCGCGCCCCCAACCGTTACGCAGTCTCTCTCTCTCTCTCTCTCGCTCTCTCTCGTTTGGCAGGCTTGTGGCCTCACCGGACAAGTAGCGCCTAGAGCTAGCGACCTGTCATGCCAGCATTCGGGGGCTCCCTTGCACGGTAGTACAGGAAAGCAAAGTGAAGCCGGATGCCTCACTGGAGGGGCAGCGGTAGAAACTGGACTGCCTTGCCTGACATCCACGAGTATCCACGTCCGAACGCTGGTCTCTCAATGCTTGACGGCATCGCCCGTGCCGGCACAGTCGGCATCGTGGCGGGTCCTGGAAAAACAGACATGCTACGGAGAAATGGAAAGACAAAAAAAACAGACAAAGCTCCTCAGCTGGGAACCGCTCAACCCCACTTTCATGGATGTTCCTCTCTCTATGTCTGAGCCAGAACAGCCGAATGCCTGTAACAGCCCCTCATGAGAGACTCCAGTGCTTCTGCAGACTCAGCACTTTTCAGCTTCCCAAATGGTCTGCTGCGTGTCAGGTTTGTGGCGTCTTGGCTCGTTCTTCTCGGTGAAACACACTGCGCTGTTCATGATGAAAATTCTGAGCATGGTAATTCAGAAGAGACTGCGGCCAAGGCAGTAACAAAATTCAGGGTCCAAAGTGTGACAACGCGTCACTCACTGCAGGTTCCATTCAGGCTTCCGGAAATGCTGCTTGATTTTGCGAGGCTGTCACCATGACATTTCATATATCCACAATTAAAACGAAGCCTGAGTGGAACAAGACGGTCACTGAAAAGAGAAGCTCGCTAACGCGTGTCTTCGGGAAGAGCTACCGCTGCCTCACTCCTCTTTGATGACGCCAACAATGTCCTGCAGCTCGGAAGTTTAACTGACTTTATGCACCCGGGCGACAACTTGATTCTGCCGTCGTAAACATAACTGGCTAATTGCTGCGATGTCTTGACTGAGAAACGCAACTGCACTGCCTCGTCCCGGTAGATTTGGTACTCTTCGTCGTCAAGCTTGATCTGCAAGTATTGCTTAACTGGAGCATGCAGACGAATAACATGATGGAAGAACAGATCACATTGTGCTGCAAGTGCGTTCCCATCTTGCACCTCTGTTCCACCATACCGAGGGATGACCACGACATCTCCGACCTAGAAACATGCCAAACAGGTCAAAATCAAGAAACAAACCATCCCGGTGAGCAAGTGGCCTGGGTTTGCATCGGGATGATCTCACCTTGCTGGTTTCTTCGCCCGAGTCCAACAGCCAACACCTTCGCCTGAAACAACGATCTGAAGGTGGAATACGGCAGGCGGTCCAACACTGAATTTTCACGATCCTTTGCCTGATTCATTTCCTGCTTGGCGGAGTCAGGCAGCAAAATTCCACCGGCAGACTTGGCTTCCGCCTTGGCGCAAGCCGCCGCTTCAAGGCCAGCGCAACTGGAAGGTTTCACTGGCGAGGATTCTTAAGCCCGGAGCCTTGAGCTTCTGTACCAAAATGCCTGGGATCGCCAGAGAGCAAGGATCATGATGAGCACAAGGTGATGACCGTGGAAAAGAAGATTTCAAGCTAGAGGTCCTGCAGCTCGTTTTTTGTCGCTCCCGTTGGCCATAGTGATACACTTCGACCGTTTCTCGCTGTCGTGGGAACAGTGTTGCGAAGAAGTTTCTGCCCACATGGGAGGGTCTGGGGAGTGTTCTGCGTAGAGTACCTCCAAAACAGATAGCCTTGAATTCCAGAAGAGACTGCGGCCGGGAGGGGGCGGATATCCCGCTCGCACACCTGGAGGTAAAACCGATACGGCGGTGACCCTGCTGTCAAACATGACGAGTTTTACTTGTCCACATCCCAGAACATCCGCGAAAGCAGACATGTGACGGCATCAATGACATTTCCAATAGAGGCGAGTAGTACATCGCGAGATAAATCAAGGAGTGTCCCATACGTTCTTCGAAGTGCGAATGAAACAAGAGCCGCGTGAGGACCTCACTGCTTCTCACAACTCGGCTTCGGTCTTCAGGCATAAACCCCACACGAGTTACAATGCTACTCACACGACTGATTGTAATTATAAGTTATAAGTTATAATTACCGAACCATACACCTTCATACACCACCCATCTAGTCTTGAACCTGTTATCAAAATCAAAACTCTTGACCGCACAAATCCGAACTCCGAAAGCCAGAGGGGCGGGAAATGGCAAGCCCATGCTCCTCTCAATGTAAAGCTGACCCCTGAACTACGAAGGATGGGAAACCCCGAGCAAACAACTTCACAAACCACCCAAATCTCAAAACCCAGACCGAACAAGCACTGAAGGATTAAACCTCAAAATGGCGCCGCCCCGGCCTTTACCTTACACGAATGAGGAGCTGCGAAATCCAAGTCTAAACGCTTCGAGAAGTGGCAAACCTAAACTGTTAAAGGCGAGCTTGCGAGCAGAACGAGCAACAGCTAGAGGGAGGGAAGTGGCAGCTGCGCATTGCAAATTCGAGCAGATGCTGTTAAGCGAATGTGATTGATGCAATGCTACGTGTGCTGTGTTGCGAACTGGATCATGAAACTTATGTTTACCTATGTAGGCCTGCGCTGAACGACGCAGGGCAAAGCTTGTTGCTCAATGCAACAAACAATAACAACTCGGAAACGGCTGTTTACCCTCGTGCTGTCTTGTTTTAGTTCTGTGTTTGTTTATTTCGTTGGTTATGTTTTCTCTCCGGCTCTCTACTCTTGCTCTCTTTTGCAACTCCCCTCAATTGTGTGTTGGTTCTGTCTTTGGCTAGTTTTCATGTCGTCCTATTTTCGTTTCTTTCTGTTTTTTAATAATTTATTTGGTTTTATCGTTTGTTTCGTTCGTTCTTTCTCTCTTTCTGTGAATCTTTCTTTCTGTCTTTCGTCCGTTTGTTCGTTTGTTCGTCACTTCGTTATTTCTGTCAGAATGTTGCTCCTCCTTTCTGTCCTTCGCTCTTTCTCTATCTATTTATATTTTCGCTCTCATCGTTTACCGTTCAGTATGTTTCTTCCTTCTGGTTTCTCTGGTTATGTCTTCCTTTCTGTCATTGCTTGTTTTCCTTCTCTCCTCCTTTCTATCTTCCTTTCGGGGTTCTTGCTTGCTTCGGGCTTGCGCCTTCGCCTTCTGCGCAGCAGCGCTACGACAAGGTCCGACGAACAGAGAGCTTTGCAAAAGTGTGGGAAGCTCCCTGTTGCAGGCTCTCTAATTTGGGGGAACAGTCCCCGAATTTCACAGCTAGCATCACAAACACCCCGCCCCTGCTGCAGCACGGAGCTTCCAACCAAAGTGTGTCGATCTTTGCCCCGACGAGAACAAAAGCACAACAATGCTGTACCGGGCGTCTCTATCTTAGGCAACGCTGCTTGCTGTCTTCAGCCGTTCTCCTATGTTGCCGAATGATAGCCTTAGATGTCTGTTGTACTGACCGCTTGGGAGGGAGGGGGAATCTGACCCCTGACCTCAGGGAAGGGGTGAGGGTGTATCAGGAGCTTGGTGAAGTCGCGATTGACCCGAATCACATCTGCAAGCGACAACTCCCTCAAGCTCCAAAGGAGATCATTCGTGATAAGCAGCCCAAACATCAAGCCCTTGTAGGGTGCCAAGCATAGAACCCCGCAATGGGGGGTTCACGTTGGACTTACCCTGCGACTGCAAACCTAAATACAAGCAGGGTCAGGGAACGGCGAGCGAAAACTGTAGTGTGAAAGGTGTGAGTTGCGAAAAGCCCAAACCCGAAACGCTAATGGCAACCTCAACACAGGAATGGAGTGGCATGCCTAGATACACAAAGGAGTCGCAGAGTGGCAGAGCCAAAACTGTCAATCAACTCAAAGCCTAAACTCGAACCGGGGGAAATGCTCTAAGCTTGATAAGATGGTGCGTGCACACTTGCCTAATCCTAGCCCGGCAAACCCAAATCCGAACAGTGTCCAAAAGCGAATCAAGCATACGACGCACAAGGTGGGAGCGGCAAACCGCCCAAAGCTTATACCCGAATCGGGGGGGCAAAAGCTAAACCGTTAAACAGGGGGCCTGACATCCTGTCCAACTCAAACCCGAATCGGGTGGCAAGCCTTCATCAAGCTCCATAAATTGGGGGGACAATGAACCCCAACCTCGAAAAGGAGCGGAGTTGCAAAGCTGACTCCAAGAAAGAGACGGGGAGCCTAGAACCGTAGGCGGTGGAAGTGGCAAAAAGTCCGCAAATTGGACGACAAGCCCTAAGTCGTTAAATCTGGGCAGTGGCACACAGCTCAACCCCTAACATCAAAGGGACAGGAAGTCGCGAGACCTGAATCCAGAAAGGCCTGGGCATTGCAAATCATTCCCGTTTCCAACCCGCGAACTGGACACTTACGCAAGGCACATGGTGGGCATGAGCCGCAGACTGCATTACAAGCCATGTTTGGCAAGGTCACAAAGAGATGGGCCACGCATCAGAGCTAGCCGACACTGGTCAAGTATCATGCTCAGTCGAGACAGAGGTCTGAACTCTTCTTCTTGGAGGTTAGTTGTTAGAGTCTGATAAGAGACTGTTCATACACTTCGCAGCATTCTGAGCACTCTGGTGAGTCTCTCTGCAGCGCAGGCACGATCCGCCAGCGGCACGAATCGCTTGAATGCCTGCGCCATGTCGGTTCCTGGTGTCGGCAGGTCATAGAGGAACATGCATCAGCACCAGCTTCTGACTCTTTCAGTCTCCGGACTGCCACGATGTTGCAGCGACAACCCAATAGCCACGTCTCAAGAAGACCTCCCCTTTCCCAAGGCACCAGCTGCACCCTCCAGCCAAGACACCACTTCGCAGATGCAGCAGCAGTTGGTAGGCTTGAGCCCGATGCTCAGCAGCGTGCGACTGCATCGCCAAGAAAGGCTATCCATATGACTCATGCAGGCACAGCCCCTAGCAATCCCCAACACATCCATCAAACGACTGACCAGACAGCCGCCACGCTGCGCTACCTCATGGGTTTGACTGTCATTTTCGACCTGCTGTTTGACGTGGTGATTTCGAACACTCTGCAGGCTTTCTAGCTGAAGAAAACAAAATGGACAGAGAGCTGGAATTCCTTATGGAACGTAACCTGTTTCAAACGAGATGCTGTCAAGCCCACCAAGCTGCAGCTACAGACCTGCGTTGAAAGCAATCGTACGTAATTTCAGTGCCAGGTCAGATCCTCGCCCATCTCAGACAAGCCGGGTGAGACCCCAGAAGCTGATCACCTCGCAGATGCAGCGAAACTAGCACTATGAGAACTCCCGGTTTCTGGCTTGCACGCTCGCTTTTTGCAAGTAGCTGGGGGAATGAGAATGGGAGGTGGAGGAGTGCAACGGCAAGCATTTCAAACTGGGACTCAGATCAAGGTGCACGAAACCAGAACAGTTACAGGCATCGCTGAGTTCGCCACAACGGGCACCTCACTTGTGTTTGCATCATGGATAGCTGGGCGTTGCACTGCAACGGCTGCCTCCGTACCTGAAGCTTAGCGCCGTGCAGTGACGATCGCAGTCACGTAGAGCATCGAAGGCCTCCAACCGACAGAACCAGGGCCATGCTGAGCCAAGAACCCACCGAGGCCAAGGCGTCTCGACATACTCATGCTCGGGATGGGATCGCCTCGGAGGCAAGCACAATCACACTCTCGCATGCATCCGGCAATGTCCACTCAAACCAGGCTTTTTGCAAGAGGTCCTGGCGAGGCTGGCTTAAACTCCTTCTTCACGACCTTCCAGAAGACTCGTTTCGATGCTCTGGACTCGATACAGTCAGGAACTCAGTCGTTGCAAGTCAAAGGCTGGCTGCTGCACATTGTACTTGTAGGGCCGGGACAGGTCCGGCAAAGTTACGCACAAACTGCTGCTGCTGCTGCTGCTGCTGCCTGAGCGACGGCTTGAACTCGCGTGGACTTCGCAGGCAACAAACTGGCACTGCTGGAGGAAACGTTGATGGCCTTTATAAATTCTGTAATCGTTCGCATGAAGCATCAACTGGTGAGTGCCAGTTGATGTGCCATGTCCAGCAGAATCCGCATGTCTGAGGATGTGGCAGCACAGGACTGCCACGCACAAGAACCGCCTCACGGCTGGCAACCTCATTGCCAAAGTGATAGGAAGAGGACGAGGACAATGCAGAGTCATGTGCTAGCTTGAGATTTGGGGCTGCAGCACGAAGAGCCTGCCTCAGCATGTTGAAGACCTGGGCTTGGGTTCCTGTTCACAGATAAACTATGCTGCCACTACGACACCGTCATGCGTCGACCCTCGATGGGTGTTCGCGGTGCTGTGGACACCTGGGTCACCGGACAAAGTCCAGCGGAAGCCGAGTCGAAGCTTTTGATCACACAGGGTTTGGGCAGCTCTTGAGCCTGGATCGCACATGCATCGAACATCATCGATTGCGGCGAGCTGCCTTGCTGTGAGCTCGTTCCAATCTGCATCTACACAGGACTGCGTCGCTGGTGCTGGTGCGGTGTGAAGAGCTGCCTTTTCTATAATCCTCTGTGCACCATTGTAGCATCTACTTCGGTCAAACCAGATGAGAACGGCCACTGCAAGCAGCTAAAGCTGCATTGTACTCCCTCGCTTTATGCGGCTCACTGCGCGCTTCTCACGTGTATCCACGATGGCCTTTGGCCAGTCCGGGAGCAAAGCACATGACCTTCGTAACGGCTCAGCACAATATTGTTCAATCACGTGCGACTTGCAGAGTCAGATGCCACGGCACGCCTTTCGTGACTTGCTTAGAGATCTGGGCCGCACACAAGGAGTCCAACCAGCAAGCTGAAGCCAAGTGCCATGACGGCAAAGGCAAAGATGGCCTGAGAAAACTGATTCAACCACACTTTTCGCCCTTACGCCTCCGACTAGACATATTCCAGCACGTTTCTGTTCTGGTACCAGCACCGTGAATGTCATCCATCCCGTCTGGGAAAAGGCTTCCCGCATCGGCCCAAGACACGTCCGCCAAAAACTTGAGGGCAACTGGAAGCGGGTGCGTCTGGCTGCTCCGGCGGCTGCAGCTGCTGCGGCTGCTGCAACTGCTGCAGCTGCTGGCTGCTGTGGCTGCTGCAGCGGCTGCGGCTGCGGCTGCGGCTGCGGCTTCGGCTGCGGCGGCTGCGGCTGCTGCGCTGCTACTGCTGGACGCCGTTCTCGACTGTACCCAGATTCTAAGTAAACTCTCGAGATCCAACCCACACAAACACTCCAAACCATGCCTTGTCATTCCCACCCAACCCACTGCCCACAGGACTCAGACCAACTAGACCCAATACTGCAAAGACGCTACCAGTCTAGGCCACAAGCACGCTGCACAAAGAGGACCGTTGTCTCGGCGTTGCTCTCCGAGGGGATCGCCTTCGCGCTGTCCATGCCCAAACAGAGATGCAAGTGATGAGGTCTCGCTGTGCCGTCCTGTGCTTTGACTGCTGGCAGTGGCATGTCCTGCAACCGTCACAGCAAAGGCCGTCCCAGTGGCAGCTGCAGGCATAGCTGCGCACAGCTGGCCTCACCCTGAGCCACTGTGTTCGGAAGGGAGGTGTACACAGACCTTACCCCAGCCAAGACCTGGGGACTGCCGAGATGCGAGACAGGACCAACACGGGAGGATCTCTCTGAGCTCTGGGACTGCATCTGCCACACTGCCAGTATGCAGCGACTTCGTCACGACTTGCGGGGCCTTGGCACCTTGCTCCTGCGCCCGCTTGAATCTGCAGGTGGATCGTACCGCTGGACAGTCAGCAAGTTCGTCCTCGCACACATACCGACAAGACTCCGTCACCAGCACTGCCTCATCTCCATGCAGGACGCTCTAGATTCACACATTCGCGGCTCAGAAACTGATTTTGAAAGAGTTTTATTTCACTTGCCTGGCTTCTGTCCGGAACGATCAGAAGCAGAGCCTGATTGGGACCTCGAAAGGTGAAGTACCAAAGTCGCCTCACACCCAGCAAGCTGCAAATCAGGCAGGCACAACGCATGATCTGCCCGTTGGCAGCGGAGTTTCCCATGTTCCATTCAGACCTCATGCACTTTGGACAGAGGGCTGCAGGCGCCCAATTTTACACTGAGCACGCTGCAGAATTAAGTGTCCATACTGTCGCAGGGTTGACAGGCTCATTTCAGCTCCATTGGCCTGCCGACAAGATGACACGCATGCTCAAGCTGCAAAGCAACACGAAGCTTGGAGCAACCACAAAGCGTGCCTGGGCGATGGCCACTCCCACGTAGAAGGGCTGCAAGTGCCGCTGGTCGATCTGGATGGATCATAGTTTAATTCCAGCAATCTCAAAGCTCCTTTAAATGACACCGCCCGGCGCCGACAGGGACTCTGGCCGGCTCTTGTATCAGGTCCTCACAAACCACCAGATACTGCGATCGCAGCCTGGGATCAGAATGCTTCCGTGCATACTCTCAGCTTCAAGAAGGATGGATTGAGAATGAAGCCTTCACGAGAGCTGCAACGCACAAAGTCAAAGGCAGCTGTTGCAATTGAAGTAAACTGGACCCGCAGCAGCCTGTCCCACGCGTCTACTGACACTGTCGAGGGCCGTGCTTCTCCAGCTCCAAAGACAGAGTCTGGCCTGGCATGTGTGCAACGGCAAAAACCGATCTATGATGAATAGCACAGTAGCTGCGTATTCCTGTGATCGTCGACGCGATGAAAGAATTGAACAGTAGGCCTTCCGAGGTGCTGAGGAAAGCGTAGGGATCACAAACAGGCCTTGCGAGGCGAAGGCAACACCGCGAATTGATGCAACGATCTTGTCTAGGGGCTGCACGCATCGTTGCTTCTGCACACAGGCTCCTGCTTCGCGAATGCTTCCACGGGTTGACAGGTATGAGCAATGGCATAACATGGCAATCCTGGTAGTTTGGGAAGTTGTACAGCGAAATATCTTTCACCTGCACCATCAAGCCCAAACGCTTCAGCACATCTCGTTTCCACCATTGAGAAAAGTCATGCAGTCAGGGAACCGAGGTTTGCTGTCCATTGGTCTGATTCATGGAGAATCGAACGACAACATTCCTCATTTGCAATGTGCTGGCACGCTTGTGTGGTCTTCGAGTTCCCTGCGGCTTGCTGCTTTGCTTCCAAGCATGCTGCAGGATGCTGCGGTCTGCAACTGAGGCTGGGGCTCCTCGCTGGAGTCAGAAGCATTCTGCTTGTCACCCGAAGTAGTTCGGGGAGCCACCTGGCGCAATGAATATGTTCTTAGAAAGACCTCCTGTGCTTTCATGGATGCCGGGATTGTCTTGCTCAAAGCAACTACAATCTGCACGGCTTATCCATGGGATTCATTGAGGTGCATACTCGGAGCAAGTTGAGATTAAGACGTCCAACCAACCGATGTGCGGTGTCCTTGCCTGCGACATGTTGAAGACAACTTTCACCGTCCTCCACGGTCATCAAGCGACACAGCTGACGAAACCAAAGCCTTCGGCAGTCCTGCCATCTTGTGGTGCGAGGTCATCGCAGTTGGCGTTCGGATCTTTCAAGCGAGCCTCGGCAACAGGTACACAAATCAGAGATCGTCAGGATCACACAAAAAATTCTTGAGCAAGGCATAGCACCCTACTTCAAGGCATTCTATGCTGGGCAGTGCTTGAAGCTCCTCCGATGCCGGCCTGACAAAAAACAGCGTCGTCACTTTGCGTGACTAGCTTCGGTGCAACAGTCTTGCCATATCTCCTGCAGACTTACATGGACTGACTTGGCGCCTTGGCTGGATACCATGGGCGACAAATGGTGCTGAGACCTGCGAGGCATGCTTGGCCGAGCCTGCGATTCGACGATAGCCGAGTCTCAGCGTCCGTTGAGCTTCCGACGAAAACGAGTACCGCAACCGCGGCCTTAAGAAGCGCCGCTGGAGCATTGCAGGTCGTGCAGAGCTTTCAAAAGACAAAACCGGCCGGCTCTGCTTTCAAGGGCAACTCCATTGTGTGAACGTTACAGAGCTGACCTCGCCATGCCGAGCATCAAGGGATGGGTTAACAGCCAGTCTCCAGGCAAGCTTACCACTCGAGAGTTCAGCACCAGCCTCTCATCTTGGCATTCTGCAACTGCACTTGTGAACGTGTTGAACGATACCGGATCCTTGCCAAATCACGATTGGAGGCACGTCCACTCTCCGGGTCGGCAAGACAAAATCACAATTGTGCCTGGGCTGTCTGAGACGGGCAGGGACTCCCCAACCAGGCAGCCAAAAAAACTCTCACGGAGAGATTTGCAAGAGCCACATGCATCCATTGCTCTATGTCGCCTGATGTAAGCACTTCACTTGCAAGCATGGCATGCCATGGCCAATTTTTACCCCATAGCCCTGCGAGACTTTGTCCGCGAACTCAGACGGGTTCGAGCAGTAGCGGAGAGATGCGATGCTGGAGTGGTCCAAGGGCTTAGAGTGTGGAGTCGACCGTCTTCGATGGTATGGGTAGAATGTGCACCTGGAAAAATCAAAAGGAAAAAAAAGCCAAGGCAAAGTGGCAAAGTGGCGGCTGGGTCTATGGGTCGCGCACGTGGACATGAGGAACCGATTGGCCGGCATCGGGACCATCCTGGATGCCGAGCCGGGAAGCCTCCAGGAGGCCGAGCGTGAGCTCTTTGTCATCTCTGGCGGCAGCGGTGCTTTTCGTTCGGCCTCGGCTCCGTAGTGGCGCTCCACCAGAGCCTGTACCAAGCGAACAGTGCGGAACAAGTCGTCGAACTCCTGCGAAGCATGCGAAGCCACAGTAAGCATCCAGGGGAAAACTCTGTCTCACCGCCCAACTCCTCCTCACAGAGGTCCGCGAGCCTGGGAGCCACCCTTCGCGGCGTGACCTGCACCAGAGAGCCGTCCCGGCAGCTCTGCACGGAGAGCGCACTCGCCACTCTCGGGCGTACCAGGACATGGCCAGGAACCAGGGGCTTCAGGTTGACGAAAGCCAGGCTCAAGCCACTGGGTGAGGCAAAGAAGATGTGCGACCTGAGTAACGGTGGCGCTCTCGTGGGCTGCAGCTTTGACTGCCAGCTGAGGCTGCCAGCCCAGGTATGCGATACTGAGCGAAGGCCTGCGCAGCGTTGTCGTGGCGCTTTCGTAAATTCGGTTTGACTACTCTCACGCTCAGCCTGCTCTTCTGGAATGTTGCCATGTCCTGCGAGAAAAGCTGACAAACGCCACCAGCCAAAAACATCAACTAAGTTTGCTACATCAGCCACGTCTTAAGCTCCACAGAAAAACAGCCGCGGTTGAATTTTGGACGTACATGTTCAAACGACTTCTCCGCGGCATGGATGTAGTCTGCGAGGCCACGCACAGCCGCACTGTCTCAGTCCCCCTCTTGTCCCACAGCTCTGTCCTTCGATTCCGGCGCGGTAGCTGCCGGCCTCCTGAGCCATGAGCTCACCTCGCGAAGATCTCATGGCACACTTGAATTTGCTCCTTCGTCGGTTCTGACAGGCTTGTCGCATGGCATTCTGTGCAGGATTTTATGTCGTGTTCGAGCGCGCGCTTGTCAGGTGATGTTCTCAGAGTTCGGTCCTGGGCATGAGTGGCTGGACTAGTTTTTGGCCACACACCTTAAACCGCAAACCCTGTACCCCGATTCCCCAATCTTGTGGGGGTTCAGGCCCTCGTGTGCTGGCGCAGTAGTTCGTGGACATGTAAACCAGCTTGTATTTTGGTGGGAAGCGCATGCGAGGTCGGCCAAATAGCAGCGAGAAAGGCCCCCCGCGGCTGTGACACGGAGGCGAGGCTTTTGTGAGGAATAGAGCGCCCCCAACCCCGAACACTTAAACTTCGCAAACACAAATCAAGCAGTTCGGAAAATCAGCCCACATTGCAAGGCTCGGACAGCATTAAACTCCAAGAATAAACCATCATTCAGGCGGACAACCGGAAATCCCAGAATTAAGCACAGGGGCAGTTAAAATCAGGAATCGGGCATCTAGATCCCGAAACCCCAAAAATCTGACCGAAGAATTGAAAACCAGCTGGGAATTCCCGCCCTAAAGTCAAAGGTCAGCAAATGTGTCGAAATCAAGCCGAAATGAAGCCTCCATGCCCGGAAATCCCATACTTTAAACAAACCTCGGCCGCTGAGTCAAAATCAAAAGCTTCGAGCTGAAACTGGAGCATCGAGATGAACAGGGCACAGAATGGAAATGGCTTCGGAATGAGGAACAAAGTCACCGCATGTTTAGCTTAGCTCGCCTTACGAAAGGAGCTCGATTGGAAACCGCAACCCCGAGAACCAAAAGGAAGATCATTGGCACGATAGGGGAGCATGGTCGCCGAATGATTGGCAATCTTCCTAAACCCTAAACCCTCAATCCACTCCAAAGGCAAATGGCTTGGGGCCAAAAAGCTTACTTGTAGAACCTAAGTGTGAACTCGTGACGGTAAATATTCCCAAGCCTAAACCCAACTATCGTGCAACGAACAGCGTCGCAAGTAGCCCGGCTTCGAAGAGCCAGTTTACACTGAAGTCGGACAAACTGAAGGGCTCCTCCTCAGGATAATCGAACCCGAAACCCGAGACCCCAAACTCGTAAACCCTGAGCTACCCCAAACGCTTGAGTTGCCCCCGACCCGATAATCCTAAACGCATGGAAACCCTGGACCCAGAAAATCAAGACCACAAACTAAACCCTAAAGTACCCCAAACCTCAATACCTAAACACTAGAAACCTCAACTCGGATACCTAAACCGAAGACTCGGCACCCGAAAACACTGCACCCGAATAAGCTAAATCCGAACACCTTAAACCAAAAAATACCTCCCAACTGGACCCTTGATCTGACCCGATGATCCTATACCCGTGAAGCCCGACCCTGAAATGGCGTGAAACCACAGAAGCTGCACCAAGCCACGCTGAACTTCCGTGAAGCTCCGGCCCCTGAAACCCCAGAATCTAGACCCTAAACTATCGACAACCCTGAACCCGAATACCATGAAACCGACTACCCAAACACGAATGCCCTAAAAACAAGGACCCTGAATCCAAAACTCTAAACCGGCATACCCGAAAATGCAAACCGTAAAGCGGACACATCTCTAAACCCGATTACCCTCAACCTGAAAAACTGCTAAACCCAAATACCCTGAGCCCCGAAAGTCCTTAACCCGCATACGAAACCTTAAAATCCTAAACCCGAATTCCTTCGAACCGAACACCCCAAAATACCGTTAACCGAAATACCTTAAACCCCCTGGAACCCTAGACCCTGAAACCCCCCACCCCAAACTCAGGGATGGCAGAGCGCGTAAAGACTCGATTTCAAAGATTTCTCGCACGCTCCAAGCCGGTTTTTGCCACGAGGTGAGTTGCTTAAGAGTTACGGTACTGGGGTTTGGGGTAGCTTAGCCTTCGAGCCACTCGTTGAGCCGCAGGAAATCCAGAGAGAAGAAGGAACGAGGAAGACTCCTGAGATCTCTCTGTATTTGGTTCGATAGTCTAGTTCGACATCCTGGAAGAGATGAGTTAGCACACAACCAAATAAATATGGGGAGAGCGGGCATCCTTGTCGTACTCCCTTCGTCTGCGTACGAATCGCGGATTTGTAAGAGGAGTCCCTGACGAGAAAGGTGGAAATACTCTAAAGGGCCATGACAACACAGCGCGCATGAGTTGGAACCCCTAGATGTTCCATGGCGGCCTCACTGGCCGTAAACGTCACCTTCCAATCGCTTTGCTCCAAAATATGAACAAAAAAGGGAAAGGGAGTTTTGTCTTTCGAAGACCTCTAAGAGGCGACGTATATGGATGGGTTGGGTCGTGGAGCGGCTCTTCCTAAAGCCGAACTGTCTGTCCCTGATCCTAGGGTCCAAATGACGTTCCAATTTCTGCTGCAACATGGAAGCGAAAAGTTTGTATGGGATGCTCGTGAGAGAAATAGGGCGATAATTAGAGAGGAGTCGTGAGTCCTTCTATTTTTGCTTCCTGATAGCATTGATTATAATGAGAAAGAAGATAGAGTTTGAGTATATATGGAGCATGTTTGTAAATTTCCCCATGGATCTCGTTTGGGCCAGGAGCCTTTCGAGATTTCAGGCTCCTTCGGAGTACTTTGTTGCCAAGGTAATCCGCAAAAGTGGCTGCTTTTTGGGAAGAAGAGACCAACTTATTTGAAGCTTATAGAGACCCGCGGCTTTAGGCTTGAAGTCGGCCCGAATTTGGCGCGCGTACGTCCATTGCTGTACTGCACCACCCGAGGTTCGCGACCCTGAAACCTTGGACCCTAAACCCTATAAAGTACTCAAACCTGGATACCCTGAACGCAAATATCTTTAACCCGAACAACGCCTTGAAAATCCAGGGCCTGAGACGAATAGCGGAAACCCTAAACTACCCTGAACCCCACTACCCTAAACCCGAAACCCTTGAACTCGACTGCCCGAAACCCGAAAACCCTAAACCCCAAGCTACCCAGAACCCGAAAACCGTGCCCCAAAAACGAGTGATTAACGTCAAACGGTAAAGCCCAGAGCCCGAACCAAAGATCCTAAACCCCGAACTATCCCAAACGCGATACCTCCAGATTAAAACCCTAAACCCGAAACCCCTCAAATCGAAAACCAATACCCGAGGTTCGCGACCCTGAAACCCTGGACCCTAAACCCTGTGAGTACTCAAACCTGGATACCCTGAACGCAAATATCTTTAACCCGAACAACGCCTTGAAAATCCAGGCCCTGAGACCCTGAACCAATAAACCCGAATAGCGGAAACCCTACACTACCCTGAACCCCAACACCCTAAACCCTGAACTCGAATGCCCCGAAACCCGAAAACCCTAAACCCCAAGCTACCCAGAACCCGAAACCCGTGCCCCAAAAACGAGTGATTAACGTCAAACGGTAAAGCCCAGAGCCTGAACCCTAGATCCTAAACCCCGAACTATCCCAAACGCGATACCTCCAGATTAAAACCCTAAGCCCGAAACCCCTCAAATCGAAAACCAATACCCGAGGTTCGCGACCCTGAAACCCTGGACCCTAAACCCTGTGAGTACTCAAACCTGGATACCCTGAACGCAAATATCTTTAACCCGAACAACGCCGAGAAAATCCAGGCCCTGAGACCCTGAACCAAAACAAACTAGAATACCTGAAGCCCAAAACACCCTAAACCCGAATAGCGGAAGCCCTAAACTACCCTGAACCCCAATACTCTAAACCCTGAACTCGAATGCCCGAAGCCCGAAAACCCTAAACCCCAAGCTACCCAGAACCCGAAACCCGTGCCCCAAAAACGAGTGATTGGCGTCAAATGGTAAAACCCTAGACCGTGCGAAACCCTAGACCCTAAACCCCAAACTATCCCAAGCCCGATACTCCCACGATAAAACCCTAAACCCGAACACCCTCAAATCTCTTCTGCCCTGAACCCGAATACCTAAGCCCGAAAGCCAATACCCGAGGTTCGCGACCCTGAAACCCTGGACCCTAAACCCTATAGGTACTCAAACCCGGGTGCCTGAATATCCTAAACCCGAACAACGCCTTGAAAATCCAGGCCCTGAAACCCTAGATCCTGAACCAGCATACCTGAAGCCCAAAACACCCTAAACCCGAATATCCGAAACCCTAAACTACCCTGAACCCCAATACCCTAAACCCGAAACCCGTGGACCCGAATGCCCGAAAGCCGAACAGCCTAAACTGCTGAAAACCCTAAACCCCAAGCTACCCAGAACTCGAAACCCGTGCCCCAAAAACGAGTGATTAACGTGGAAAACCCTCAAACCTAAACTACGACCCTGATGATTCCCAAAACCCCAAACCCCGAATACCCTATAGACCCTGCAACCGAAAATCCCAAATCCGAAACTATCCTAAATCCGTGCCTGCACAAACCTGAACGCAAATATACCCTCAAACTTAAACTTCCCTAAACCGAATCACCTGACTCCCAAATCCCTGAACCCCAGTATCCTAAACCCGAATACCGAATACTTGAGGCCTATACTGTAAAACCCGGCTTGAAGCACTAAACAATCAAGTGCAGAAACCCGAATCCCCTGAACCCTCAAACTCTGAATCCGAATATCCTAAACTCGAACAGCCTAAACCCGAATACCCCAAAGCCACTAGACCCTAAACTCGAAAATTCTCAACGCTTTTTGAAACCCCAGACCCTAAACCGTCAGCTACCCCAAACCCAAACGTAAGACAAAAAACAACCAACACCAGATTACCCTAAACCCGTGCAACCCTTATAGAACCAAATAGGAACA